TTTCTTACTGCCTTACCATAAAGACGAGAGGGCGAATTTTTAGAACCTTCTAAATTGGTATATTCTCTGTCTAGTTTCTTTCTCACTTCACCTGCTCTTGGGCTATCTCTTCATTCTCTAAATAGCTCGAGCACATATTGCCATGTGTGCTGACAGACATGCAGTTGGCAAAGATACTCCCATTTACGTAATACTCCTGGGTTTGATACCCGTCTTCGCACTGTAATCTGCTCTGATCCATTTGGGCCACGTTCACATCGTCACTCAAATCCATTGTTCTGCTGTCCGCACATTCAAGGCTACGAATTCTTCAAACATATTTGCAACTCTTATTCACTAACATTTACATGAACATATGTGTATATGCCGTCTAACGTCTCTGACAGCAGTTCAGAGTATGCATTGTAGTGTGGAAGACTTAAATGATTATTGAATATAAAATTTGAAATAATCTGGAAAGAAGACCAAGTAGAATGAGCTGAACATTATAAAACTGAAAGAAAGCTATGTATATATATATATATCACCTTCTTTACCGTCCAGAAAGCAACAATGAACACGTAGTTATGGATTTCATGTGATTCTCAGGATATTTCCGTAAATACTGATAACAGGTTGATGTTTATAATGGAAACGTAGTGTGAAGAAAGTGTGTTTTGTGCGAGGTGTGATCTGCGCTCTAAAATGTTATTTGGACGAACTTTATGTTTCATGCTGTAAACTTGTCTCTTAGCGTTGGATCTGTAGTCGAGTCATAGCGCGGGAATTACTTGGCGATGATATGCACGTTAATTTCCAGCCAGTGCTGAAAGCGGATGTGAATTTGACAGCAGTGCTTTGCGTTCAGTGAAGAAGTTGGGAAACATAAGTGTAGCATAGCAATTCTGCCGCATTTGTTCCATTCGTTTCGCTGTCTCCAGTGCCGTTATGTTTACGGAGAGCATGCACTGATGCACTGGATATTAGCATGTGCTTCGGTATTCGTACTGCTTTCATTGGTAAAGACTTCTCATTTTTGTAAGTATTTAGCTGATTTCTTGTCGCGTAAATCGCAAAGTGTTTGTCAGCTTAAGAACTATTTACAGCAGATAACCCAGAAGTGACCGAGATCCAAACGTCATGTCCAGTAAATATTTTCCACAAATTTTACAGTTGCAGAAATATTTCAGTGAAAAAGGAGATCGCGCCTCAATTAACACTATATCATGTAAGATTTCAGGCTTTCACGGCGGTGACTATGAAGAAAGCAGTCTGCTTTTACCGGTTCTCACGGTCTCTCCGCTTGCAGAATTCTTATATTTTTCCTTCTACCCTGAAGATGGAGGCGATACGTTCTTCCGAAACGTCGGTTAACACCACATATACACGGTGCCAAATCCCAGAAGACTGCTTTCTTCATCACTATATCATGTTCATTGCTGCCACCAGTAATTTCTGCCTTTCGGTAACTAAAGCTTGACACAGACATTCCAGAATATGGCTTTGAATTTGTTTATAGAAACACCCAATATAAAATATTTTTAATAATAAAAGACAACATTTTTTTGGAGAACGGAAGATGCAGATAATTTAGAAAACCGTTCAAACGGCGAGGGGCGTAGAAGATAAAATCCACTGCTTTAATACAGCGTCCAACTCTACGGAAGTGTGCCTTTAAAGTGAAGTGGTAACTATGTATTTCCCTTACATTAAATATTAAAAAGTCTCTGAAGGTAAATTTTTAATTAATAATCCTGTTTCGTTTCATGTACAATGGCCAGCATTCCCGGTACAGACCGCGCACTTACAACTTTTCTAATAGAATGAGGGTCAACTAATCAGGTCGAGGTAAAGTTGTCCCTGTGTTTACCTAATTAAACACTACGCCATGAAGGCATATGGCAGAGAGGATGTATAGATCCTCATTTTCTTGATCTCGGCACTAGCTGGAAATGAGTGGTCAGCTTCACGCGCCTACCGCTTTACCTCCCGGGGAAAGAGCCCCCAGTACCCTTTGGATAAGGGTTTCGGTGGGCCCCAGAGTCGGTCTGGATGTCGTGGACAAAAGAAAAGTCTTGCGGTTACCGGGACTCGAAATCTAACCCCTCTGTCGTCCAACCCATAGTAAATAGTGTGTTCATATATTTCGAATAATCACCTCCATGAAGAGCTATTCCTTCCCTAAATACCTCTAGCCGGTGCTTGTTGTACTGGAGACTCAATTTGCCATTTGAAATAGAAACCGAACCTCGTAGCATTGTTTAGATGAACATCACGCCTCAGAGGATTAGGTTTTGCTGTGTTAACCTAACCTCAGACAAGGAAATGGTATCCTCACGCCTTCCCAGCACGGCCCGGTTTGTGTTTAGGTCAGCACACTTTTGTTCATTAATCCTTCGGTCTCGTCACACCAATCTGACGTTACCTTTCACATTGATGTCGGCGTTTTTACTAAAAAATGCATGGCTCAAAGTGCGATACATTACTTTAATATGCACAAATACAAAGTAGACTCATCAAACAAATGTCAGGAAATCCCCGAGCCATGTAGCCTGCAAACAACCGTATGTTAAAAAAGCACCGTTCAGGCAAGCCTCTGGAGCAGAAACAGGTTTCAAAAGCATCATATTATTGATGATTTCGAAAGAGGGGGAATAAAGTTCATAAGGTAAATCTTGCATTCTTGCCAGAAGTGACGTGTGAGCAGTTCAGTTCCTACCTCACAGGGAACACACACCGTCTCTATTACAAAGAGCAATTAGTTAACTATTTTTACGGAAATATCACTGTTTATCGTGTGCTTCACAAGACGTACATAATCGTAATAAGTGGACACAGCGCTAAGTGCGAGCATGTGATCACATTGCTTTGAAGGATTAAGTACAGGCCTGCCTTTATGGCATCCAATATTTGCACGCCGCTAAAAATATACATGGCTTCTAATGGAGTAGGTAAGTGAGAAATGTGTATGTTGGTCACGTGCGGTTCCACTCGAATGCAGATAAATTAATCAGATGACCAACTTAGAGAAACTGATAGTAGGCTTGCAAACCTGTGGACAAACTCATGAGTTTGCTGAGTCCATCGATCATGCAGTAACGTAAAAAAAGAAAAGTAAAGTAAAAGTATCCCTATAAGAGGCCGTGGAGCCTGATATGATTGTGAGATGTTGAGGTTCCCAACATTTTCTAGACAGTCGGCTCATAGATGGCGGCAAGGTTGTCAGCCTTATGCGTCGGCCGCCCTTTACCCCCAAGAATATTCCTGGTACTCATTTCTGTTAGAGGCTGAATCGACCCCAGGGCCATAATGCGGCTGGAAGGTTTAGGTGAATTGAAAAAGAAATTCACCTCATCGGGATTCGATCCCGCGACCTTCCGGCTTGTAGCATAGTGCTCGATCCGGCAGAATATATAAAAAAACCAAGAATCTCTTTCGTAGAAAATGATATAGGAGAATTGTAGGAAAAGTTGTCAAATAAATGTTTCGTGTTTACGGTGGGAAGTGTTTGTCGCGTAAAGCGATTCACAACTGGGCCCAGAAACGTGACAAAGATTTCGCTGATGGCGAAGAGGTTGAGATGGGGGTGCTGGGAGTGGCTGAGACAAGGGCTAACAGATTCCTGTTTTACTGGTTTCGGCTCTCAGATAAATTAGTGGGATAAGTTAATCAGTGCTGGTGAAGGATATGTCAAGAAATAAATGTTTTTTTCCTGGTTTGAGTATCACATGTTTTACGTTTTATATCAATTTGTGTCATATTCACTGAATCTCCCTTGTAGTTCAGATGAGGACTAATTATTTAAGTCAATATTGTTGCTTGCACATTTATTGTGAACTTCTTTGCACGTTTGTGAGATAAAAATAAGTTAATAATGAACTGTGAACAGTTGTAAGAAATAAAGGGTGGAGAATGTAATAGCTCTGTTCAGAGAGATGCCAGCACTTGTTATATTTTCATCAATTCTCGGCAGGGTCAGAGCTGTCAGAATTTAATCCACACTCCATCAAAACCATTAACGCGTGGAAAAGTAGAGAAAGAATTCTGTAGCTGGAATTAAGTTCCGAGATCATCTCTAAAGTGCTGTGTGTTGAGTTACTGGAGAATCATTCGATCCGTACCATAAGAGAGCACTGTAAGTAATACAGTACATTTGTATTCTTCACATTTCTGGTTCTATGGGGCGTGGGAAATTTTTGCCCCATTGCTTAATGTCAGTTAGAATGAGGTCAAACAGCGGTTGTCTTGACTCAGGTTTCTCGTAGTTCCCCCGCCTTCCCTCCAGTCAGATATCATGATAACACCTCGATTATGCCTTACATGCTCATACTTCGCTTCTTCCAAATCTTTTCCTATTCTTCATTAATCAACCTAACTTTCACGACGTGTAAGCCAGGCACTGAGAGTGTCGTAAAGAACTTATAAAACTCAGAATCATTGGGCTTTTGGACTTTGTCCATCGTCAGGTATTTTACAGGCTAGAAAAAACAACGTTTCGGAAACTGGATTTGTTCCTCTCATCGGGTGAGAGAGAAAGAAGACACCTACTCAGTTGTGTCCGTTAGGATGAACTAAACTGAATCACTGGACTACTTATAAACTAGTAGTTACTATAGGATTCTGACAGTGGTGTATAACACACAGAGATATTGGGTTTTCGGACGTTATCCATCGTCCTGGTTTTTAAGATAGCTAAGAAAAACACGACGTTTCGGAAACTGGATCTCTTTCCGTCCTCAAGTCCTCAATCACTGGATTGAGGCTAGCTCTTTCTAAGGGACCCAACAGAATAGGTGTTTTCCTTCACTTGAGGACGGAAACAGATCCAGTTTCCGAAACGTCTTGTTTTTCTTAGTTATCTTAAAAAACCAGGACAACGGATAAAGTCCGAAAACCCAATATCTAACTGTTGCGTTATAGATACCTCCTTCTGTTGCCTTGTAAATATTTTATATTGTCTCAGTTTTCACTTTCTAATGTTCCTGAATAAAAATGTAATGCATTTGTCTCTTTTGTTTCAGGTAAAATACGGAGTGGAGATCACGACATCACCAGTGACTCTAACGTAGATATTTTTATACGGTACTACAAAGTAATAATGGATATCTATATATATTTTTGGAACGCGTACTCCATATTTTCGTATATGACGGCAACTAAATCCAAACAATCGAACCTACCTCTTGAACGATAACAATCGTAACAATGGCAAGACCCTACTCATGTGCGTGCAATCACGAACTAATACGTAATTTAAAGTTGTCCTGCCTTTTTGAACTATAGCACCGTCTTCCAGGAAATTGAAAACAAAATGATTTAGGAAAACGGGAAATTTTCATTCAGTAATAAAATGCACATATGAAGATTAATGTAACATAAATTAATTTTTAGCAATCGTTACGAAATAGAATCATATTTAATATTACATTATGACAAAAACCACAAAATATTCATTGTTATCGTACATATGTAAGGGCTATCTTCCCTTCAGCTTAATCTGTTACATTGCAGTATTTCACTACTAGGATCAAATTCTATCATGGTTATGAATACAAATCGCAACAATTACAAATTAGATTCCCCGTCCAACAATAAGGATTTATATAACAATAGCGGGAGTAACAATTACCATCACTATAACAATCAGCAGTACCTACAGCAGCAGCCATCCATGAATTACAACAATTGGTACGTCGCGGACAGTGCCACCCAGCATAATGTATCGCAGTGCGCAGAGCCCCAAACCGTAAATAAAGCGGACGACGGTGCAGCGTGTTGCAACTGTTTCCTTTTCCAGCCGTGTGGGGGCTCTGATTCTTGCTGTAACGACTCTCGTGATCTCGCTGTGCAATCCTACAATAACGACAACAATCGCTCTGCCTCTAATGTCATTGCATCATACGGAGTGTACGGAACTGCTGCCGCTAGTGAGGATGACGATGATGATGGATTCGTGTCGCGATCTGGTGGCGGTTATCGGTACCACCATAGTGTCGTGAACATTTCCGGAAATGCTACTAGTACCAATATACTGAGGGAAACATCTGGTAATGATAGGACTTGTTGTGTGTCCTCGTGGTGCGCAACACAGGGATCCTGTTGCTCTGGGGAGCAGGACGAAAATGCGACCCCGGGAACAGCCGTGCCTACCACGTCTGATACTTCGTGCTGCTCGAACTGGTGCAGACCCACCATTTTGCTTCTGTTATTGGTGCTTATGGTGGTGGTCTTTGTCTTCATATCCGGGATTCTCCTCTACTTCAACTGTACGTACTTCTCTTGTTTCATGCATGACCTGTAAACCTGCAGCGAACAGTAATTGTAGGAACCGTAGGAGCAGATGTGACACTGAAACTGGCATGCAACTACACAATACAGTCCACTTAGTACACGCATTCTTGTTGTGATATTCCCATTAGAAGGATAGCGTGCTCATCATTCAGCTGAGGGAGAAGCAACGCATTAAAACGGTAATTATGTGTAACGTCATCCAAACTAACTGACTAAACTTAATTTGCTAGAAGTGCGCATGTACTTGTATATATCCATATTACATCCTCAGTTTTGTATCTCAAAAGCTGCACAGATAACGTAATTTATCACTGTATGCTCAAGATTAGGCACATTGAGGAATGACTTCCAATTTTTATGTAGCGAAATTTCTTGATCAGATTTATCCTTCCGGGTATTTACCACTGCATCATACTCGTACATAATACTGTCTATTCATTCTATAATACATAAAATCTCTAAAAGATACAGTTTTGTTAATAAGTTACCAGCGATATACACGAAATTTTTTGAAAACTTTTGCTACTGCTTCAAAAGGCGTCAGGAAAGAGTGCAAGGTCCTGATGATATGGGAAATCCACCATTCTTTTTGAACTGCAGAAAGCAGATTAGAAAATTAATCCTTCGACTAGCTCCTAACGAAAATGTTCAAATATATACCTGTTAACTGCGTCATAGATGTCTTTTCGTCAAGACGGTGGAAAACAATGTAACAGAAGTGAGTGAAACCTCCGGGCGAGTTGGTTATGCTATGCGTGTATCATATTGTGTGGGTTAACAGCCGGATGTGCACCAAAATTTCGGAAGGGCCTCTACAGTTTCAGGTAGGGAAGCTTTGGCCCCTGCACAACAGTCTACACAACTACATATTTCAGAATAGAAATTTTTGTTATTATCAAAACATAGAAGACTTGAAACTGAGTGCTTTTGTTTGTCCAAAGTGTTATTTGTACTTTCAGTACTTTTTTTATTTATGGGTAATCTAATTTTTGTTAATCACTGTTTTTATTCACTTTATATTAGATTGTTTGTCCCCCTCTGCACTACCTACCCCCACCAGTTGTTACTGTAGTGTAGCTGTTTACTGTGGTCCTTCATTAGTAAATTAGATTAAACAATACAGCAATGGTTGAACGGTTGAGACCATTTAACAGTAATTAATAGACTCTATTTGAGTGCTGGTCCATCAGGTTACAACACTGCCTCTCAAATATAAGCAGTTTTGGTACTGATCAGTAATTGGAATATTAAGCGAAGCAAATGTTTCCGGATATACGCTTAATGTACAAATATTTCCATATATTCCTACTTTTCCTTAAATCTTCAAGCTTATAGTTTAATATCTGACTTTGGCTTGTAGGAATACACTTCCTAAGCCACTGAAGGTTTCCCAACGACTTGGGCAACATTGTATAGTGTCTTTAGATGGGTTTTGGGAAACTTACATAGAAGCCGTGATTGGACGTCACAGAGTTGTAACCGTCTTCTTCCTGCGCGATCATCTGCAACGCTTGTAGACATCTATTTATTATTGTTCCATTGCAGCTACGATTGTGACGCCGTCAACATTTGTTGATTCTCCGGGTTTCTGTTTGATGACTAGCTCCAGTTATGGCGATATGAAGAGATTGTCTTTCTCAAGTTGTAATGGGTCTTGTTTGGGCAGGCGAAGGGAACAAATGTGATGATTAATAAACTCCGAATATTACACAGTAATTATGGAATGCTTTACTGCTACTCGCACATATATACAAGTCACCAAACACAAGTTTAAATTTGCTGAAAAGCAGCGTTTGGGTTTTTATATTTTGAAACCATAAGAGATAAATGAATTCTTTCTGAAGATGTAAACCGACTGCTTTGTTTACGTACGTTTCTTCTAGGAACTTGGAACAGACGATTTTTGGAAGCCAAGCTTTCTGACAATTTGAAGATTCAAATTGCCTTGTTCACAAAAGTTGACTCCCTCATTATCATTTGATTGATTTATCAGTAAATTTTAAATTTTAGGTGGTCTTTTATTTTTATATTAACCAATCAGTTATTTCCTTTAGTACCATTGGCTAAGAAGTCACTGCCGGTCACGGCAGCTGAGCGGTCTAAGGAATGCGCTGTCTTCGCTCGCTCGGAAGCCGGGATCATGGGTTCGAATCCCACTCAGGACATCGTTATTTGTGTGCGTTTTTCTGTGTTTGTCTACAGGTAGAGGTCTTGCGACGAGCTGATCACTCGCCCAAGAAGTTCTACTGAATGTTTAAGATCTAGTAAACCGAAGTGAAACGGAGAGTTTCATGGAGGTAGGCCTAGGCCCAAATTGAGGCTGTAGCGCCACAAAAAAAAAAAAAAGAAGAAGAAGTCAGTGTTATGCCATGAATAACTCATTAATCCTGCCCATTATCTGGCGTCCCCAGCTAGCGTTCTACGTAACATGCTTAATCACGTGTTCTGGACATCTGCTGCAACAAAATCTTCGCCGCCGAAATACAAAGTCAGAATTTGAAGGAAACCAGTTTATTTCTGGAGACTAACCAAAAATGGCCTCTTGTGCTCTTACGGCTTGCCGACAAATATTAATTATATTCAACACATGTTAATTATGTTTCTATTTTACGGTTAGGTGGGTCTCTTATCACCACGACATGGCACATTCTCAGGTTGCGGATGGAGGAGACGGCTTCCAAATTTGAAGGGTAGTTGCGAATGTATTGCAAAAGCAGTCGCGGACCGCTGGCAAGGTGTGGTCCTCCAGTTGGGGATTGTGCGTGACACTAAAAATTCCTCGACGTAAAAATAAGCTTGTTACTAAAGATCTCAGGTCGCGCCATAGCTCATGCGGTTAGTCGCTGGCTTCTCACCGCGGCGGCCCGGGTTCGATCCCTGGTCTGGTCAAGTGGGATTTGTGGTGGATAAAGTGGCGCTGGGTCAGATTTTCTCCCGAGTTCTTCGGTTTCCCCAGCCTATCCTCATTCCACCAATTGCTCCACAATCACCCTCACCTATTATCTGGGGCTGGTAAATAGGCCAGAAGTGGCCGCAGTACAAGGGACTTAGTTCGATCCCACTAGCAATACAAAGATACTAAAGATCTCGAGAAGCCTCGGACCTGGACGGAATCTTTGAATAATCAACCTAAGCGAAAAAAAAAATAAATATGCAATTTGGTGCTTGGAATGCTAGAAATATGTATAAGGCAGGTTCGCTCAGGGTAGTGGCAGAAGAAATCTCAAAATATAAGTTAGATTTAGTTGGAGTACAGAAAGTCAGATGGGACGGAGGTCGCATCGCACCAGTAGGCTAATATACATTTTTCTATGCAAAGGGAATTGGGAATCGCAAATTAGGTACAGGTTTCTTCGTACATGAGATAATCATATCAGCAGTTAATAACGTAGAGTTCGTTAGTGATATGATGTCATACATAATACTAAGAGGTCGCTGGTGTGATATCATCGTTCCGAATGTTCACGACCCAACAGAAAATAAAATTGCTTATATAGAGGACAGGTTCTACGACGAACTAGAACATCTATTTGATAAATTCCCAAAGTAAAAAGTAAAGTAAAGCTATCCCTGTAACAGGCCGTGAAGGCCCATAGGGTTGTGAGACGTTAAGGGTCCCACATTACCTTGACAATCGGCTCAAAGATGGCGGTAAGGTTGTTAGCGTTACGCGCCGGCCGCGCTTTACTCCCCAGGAAAATTATTTAATTAATTCCTGGTACCCATTTCTGTTAGAGGCTGAGTAAACCCCAGGACCTAGTACTTTTTGAAAATTCTGTTAGGAGATTTCAAGACCAAAGTAGGTATAGAAGATATTTTGAAACGAACAATTGGGAATGACAGTTTAGATGAAATTAGTAATGATAATGGAGTTTGAGTAGTAAACTTTGAAACATCAAAAATGTTATTGTCAGAAGTACCATGTTCCCACATCGTAATATTCATAAATTTACTTGGGCATCTCCTGATGGGAAAGACACACAATCAAATTAACCTTCTTTTGATAGATAGGTGACAATATTCAAATATACTTGATATCCGATCGTTCAGGGCAGCAGATTCTGATACTGACCACTACGCGGCGGTTGTGGCAAAGGTTAGGGAAAGACGGGCAGTGAGTAAGCAAACAACAGACAGAATTCATATGGAGAGGTACAATCTCAAGAAATTTGGAAATGCTGGGAAATCATTCTGAAACAGCATCTAATGCAATTCTCCACACCCGATCAAGATATACTCACTACATTTGACCGCAAGTAAACTCTGACATTGAAATTAAATACTTTCTGCAAGACGGTGCGTCTCATATATTCACAGAATAATTAAAAGTGAAGTAAGCACTTCTAAAAATAATAAATTATTCATAAAAGTTCGTGAACACATTCAGGTAGATAATCTCTCCAGATTTCCTGCAGACTGTAAGACCTTAAAGTCTAGGTACAGACACTCAGTGTGAGCCACATGCAGATCGTTGCTACATCAATGACGTGGGAAAGACCGGAACACTGTCGCTTGCAGATGTGCCCCTTGGTTTCAAATTGCTTATATCATGCATGGATCCTTCCTGTAGCCTTTACGGATCTCTCGTTGCACACTTTTAACGCAATTTTTCTCCGCAACACCTGCACCTCCGTGGGACGGAAAGGAAATAATTTTCCGGATGGTATAAGGAAATAGAAACTTGTTCGAAATAGCTACCATCTGGTATATTTGACGTGGCTGTGAATTTAATGAGTATTCTATTCCTACCCTCTGAATAGATTTTTGCTTGTTTTTGAACTGTCGTTTACCACTGCCTCCAGTTTGCTTGGCTACTTCTTACTGTATAGGGGCAGCAGGCGAGTTCCTCAGCTGCAGTTCCCACTCTATATGCTCGTATGTTGGAGACAAAGTTCTAAACGATTTGTCCTCGGGGCCCGCAATTTACAATTCCCTGATATCTTATTCCACCCGCAGAGGGAGCTTCGGTTCAATG